GGGTGAGTAGAAAATGAAGGCTAATCATGTTTTGGGTGTACTATTCCTTTAAGACCTGCAGTGTGAATGTAGCCTTGGTATGGTAACATGACAGTGTTTGCAAAGTAACTCTGGATTGTTTGTGTTTAACTGAAGCAGAGGATCAATTTTAGCGCTCTGGTTGGTCTTTCACTGTGTCCAAAATGTAGAGAAACATATGACTTATGACATTAGTAATTATTGTTTATCAGCTATAATAGCTATGTTAAAGGGGAACACCGTTTTTTTTTTTTTTTTTACATTGGCCCCTTGATTTTACGTTATTACATCATGTTCTACTCACCCATGTGAGTCTTGTGTCACTTGGAGCTGTTCTGAAGATGTTTGGTTTTGTTATATCCAAGTAAAGTCTTCCTACTGTTCATAACTTATTCTTTATGGTACCCCAGAATTCATAACATGTAGGCGAATCACTGTCCCCCAGACATCCGCAATTATATTTTTTATATTTATATATATATTTTTTTTTAATCGGAGTGTGTGCAAAGCTCCAAATGACACAAAATCACATTGGTGAGTAGAACATGATGTAATAACGTAAAATCAAGGTGCCAATGTAAAAAAAAAAAAAGGGTGTTCCCCTTTAATAGTGAATACTAATCTATCTGTCCAGATTTGAATGTCGGCACATCCCTACTTACATCTTCTATGTCATAATGAATGTTTATATATGAATGTTCAGGTAACATGAAAAGCCATCATTACGCAGCACATAAATGGCCATCCAGCCTCCTTTGGAGCTGAAGCCGAGGATAGCCCTGAGCACCAGGATGGAGATGACATCTGGAACCGCAGCCATAGCAAATCCTGCTGCTACGTTTATCACGTTGGTTAACAGGAAAGTCTTCATTCTGCCAAATCTACACATAAAAAAACCCCATAAAGATAGCATCAAGCAAAGATTAACAGAGGAAATATTTTCAAAGTGAAATTCCTGGCCCTACCTGTCAGCAAAGTAACCAAAAGCAAAGCTGCCTACGAGGAAGCCCACGTTGAGAGTTGACTGGTACATATCCACCATCCATCCATTGGAACACACCAGGTTGAACTGGAGGGTTTAATAAGAGAAATGGCAGATTTTTTTAAAGTAGAAAACAAGAGCTAATACTGTGCAAGTGTGCAAGATTAGGAGGTGGCAGGTTCTCATGTCCATCTGTCACTGGAAGAGTTATGCATTTTCCCACTCCATCACAGGATTCGAACGGAGACATACGTGAGATAAACTAGCATGCATGTGCACGCTTACAGTTAATGCCAATCTCTAGACCTTAGTGATTAATGAAAACCTCCAGAGGTCACTACATGTGCAGGAAATATTTTAATATGTGCTACTTCTCTTTTGATGTTATTGACCAAAGTTGAAAGCTTTAGAATCAGAATCAGAAATACTTTAATGATCCCAGAGGGAAATTATATTTGTTACACAATCCAGGTAAACAAACAACATTCTGCAAACATTCATTATCTAAAGAAATAAAATACAATGCAAGGAAATGCAATACAACATTTTTCCTGCATAAATGTAGCCAAATCAATAAGTTTATTATTTAACTTGAAGAAGGTGGGGGGGCTCGTTGACCTTTGGCGACCTCTGGAAGATTTCATTAATCTCCGTAAAAAGAAAGCGGCAGAAATGAAAACTCTGGCTGCTTTAATTCAACACACAAATGTAATACAAAGGTCTGTTGATTTGAAGAATGGGAGGAGGCCAACTTCATCCCGGTAATCTGTAGCTGTAGCTAAGGATATAAACCAGGGCTTTACTATGCAGCTTCTTCTCGTGATGTAAAATGATATCAAATTAATTCAAAACTATTTAGATGAACCGTTTTTCTTACCTCTGTGACAAATGACTTCCTGCCTTCATAATGATACTCCCAGCCCTCCTAAAAGACAGAACATAAAATAAAATACAAACTTCATGTCCAGTTAGTCAGTATATTAATCAGAGTTTAAATCAAACAATCCCCCATACCATCCCCTGTGACATTTTATCACTGAATGTGTAAATGTCTAATATATATTAACAGTAATGGAAATAATATTGCCCTTTTAACTATTGGCAGGTTAAGCTTACGAGTAGCGCTTAGCCTGAATTTATTCATTGCACACTGACTGTAGCACATCAAGTAAAATGTCTCGATACAAGTAAAATCCTATTAATTTGAATTTATCTTTCCACCAAAACTATCAATTTTAAGGCATCAATGTATTAGAAATATGAAAACATTAATATGTTTAAAATATCCCTTTTCGTTCATGTTTCAATCCGTTCTCTCATCAATGGGCCTGAGTTTAGGGCAATGTGAAATGGGAGGTCATTTTCTGCAGGCCGTGAATTCTCTGCACAACAGATGAAACCCGGAGGAGAGAATTGAAGCAGGGGCGGATTTAGGAAATTTGGACCCCTAGAATTGAGAAGACAACTCATAATACAGGCCCATTATAGAGATACAGAAATTTTAATAGAATAGACAAACATTATTTACTAAATTTTGAGATTTTGAAAAATTACTTCAGCTGTTTCAATTTAATTGATTGAATATGAATTTAAAAAAATACTGCACTTGAAAGGATTCAGATATTTATTTGTAATGTTTTATGAGGCTTTGTTTGAAATCTTTATAGATTTATTGCCAAAAGATTCTCCAAAGTAAAATCAAAGAAGTGTCCTACCACTATGAAGCTGATTATAGTGTGAAATTAGTCCCTAACTATGTAGGGGCAGTGATAGCCTGCGTACCTGACATGGAACAACCAGACCATGCATATTGCTTATTATTAATGCATATTGCTTATTATTGATATTAATATTAATTAGGCAATGTTTACTTCCAAAAAAGAAAAAAATTCCGCCATCCCCCTTCTTCTTTTTTTTCTTACAACTCGACTACTCTCCAGTGGTAGCGGTTATTTTCGTTTTGTTTGAAATTAATCCATCTAATTCACAAGAAAACAGTGGAACCCAGTGATAGTTTAGGCGTAGCTTATTAAACATGTTTAAATTCTATGCTAAGCTTGACCAGTGATTAGGACAGTTACAGATCAATTTCCACATTTTTGTAACATTTATATCCATTTAGAAATAATCTATTTTTAATTTATAAACAATGTCCGAGTAGTTCACCATTGTTTCAGTTTTTATCTATAGAAATTGAAGTATTCAATGTCAAGATTTAGATGTGCATTATTCTCTGAAGATTTTACTTTAAATAAATTGCCAATGATTGTCATGTCTGCCTGGGTCAATGTTATTTACTAAAAGCACATAACATTTTCGTAAGAGCAGACAATGAATAGATAGTTGAAAAATCTTCCTAAATTATTGATTGACAAAGTAGGCAAGTAGACTGCTTCTTTTGTGAATGTAAAACACTAAATTCCAGTGTTTTGTTTTTTTTTACTGTCATACACTGTCATAAGTACAGCCCAAAAAAAATTCACTCTCTGCATTTATCCCATCCCCTTGGGGAGCAGTGGGCTACCATTGTGTGGTGTGCAGGGAGCAGCGTGGGGTTTAGGGTCTTGCTCAGAAAGCCAGAGTGGAGGCTGTGGGGGTGGGTTTCGAACTCACAACTTCAGGATTCCAAGTGGTATGCCCTAACCACTAGGCTGCCACCTGCTGTATAAAAGAACTTTATTGATCTCTGTGAGATAGCCTGGCCAAGTGGCTGAAGAAGGCAGTAGGCAGATGT